TATATATATATATATATATATATATATATATATATATATATATATATATATATATATATATATATATATATATATATATATATATATATATATATATATATATATATATTTATATATTTATATATATATATATATATATATATATATATATATATATGTTGAAACATTTTAAAATGCATATTGTAAACAATTTGCAAGTGAGGAGCAATACATAGATCCAATTGTACTGTTTTATTCATATCTATAATCTGTGTTCATAATATAGTTTGTCTAATTGTATACCACTTTTTACTCCTCAAAAAAAATGTAAGATGCTATTCCCTGGCTTTTTGCAGTATTTTCTTGCTTACGAAACTATAAAAATATATTCCTAAATCCATCTGTAAAAATCTTTCTCTTTAATACCTTAAAGAAAAAAATCATAACAAGAATCTAAGAATATTTAAACAAGTGCTACACATGTTTGCAAATTAGAGCATGTTAAACCCAACAATACTTAATTTAAATATATTTACGTGTCATAAAAAACTTGTATCGTTAGCATTATAATGTTAGCAATTCTGAATGTAATCAAGATAACTTTTTTACCCTGCAGTGTCATTAAATCTGATCTAATGTCATTTCCTACCACTTTGGGCAGCTGGCGATAAAAGAGATCCGCTTCGGTGTCCATCGCTGCTTTCCTCGTGTTTATGAAATGTGAATGATGACAGTCCTGCTTGTTGTGGTGTATTTATTGTTGAATGAACTTCATTTATTACATGAAAACGGAATGTTTTTCTTGATGCACCAAAGTTGCGTTACCGAAAAATGAGCCTTCGACAACATGGACCTTGTAGAGTAGTTCCCAGGTCCAGATTGACTGTTTTATAAGACGACGCTGGATTTATTTAAGTGAGATACTACTGTAATTTTATCTTTAGGAGAGGGGCGACACGGTGGCTCAGTGGCTCACACCAAGAAGGTCGCTGTCTCCCCGTGTTGGCGTGGATTTCTTCCACAGTACAAAGCGATATAGGTGAATTGGATTAACTAAATTGGCCCTAGTGTATGTGTGTGAATGTGAGGGTGTTTCCTAAAACTGGGAAATAAGGGCAACATTATTTGTGACAGTCACTTCAGATTTAATTATTTGTGATGCCTTTTTTCGTCAGTCATTCTGTACAAATCATTTTGATCTGATTTATTTCCACTTTCTACTCTAAAGGGATAGTTCACCAAAAATGCAGATTCTATCATCTTTGATTTTTAAAGAATCATATTTTATCTCATGACTTCAATCTAATGTCATAATAAAGTTAGTAAAGTCATAATTCTGACTTTAAAAGTCATAATCATGACATAACAAGTCATAATCATAATTTACTAAAGCAGATTCACGAATAAAAAGTCAAAAATATAACCTACCAACTTAACTTGAATCAGAATTTTGATGAAAAATGTTTAACACACTTTAGTCAAAATGATGACCTTAAAAGTTAAAATTATGACAAACAATGAATATTACATACAAGTTAGTAAATTAGGCGGTGCAGTGGGTACCGCTGTCGCCTCACAGCAAAAAGGCTGCTGGTCCGAGCCTCGGCTGGGTCAGTTGGCATTTCTGTGTGGAGTTTGCATGTTCTCCCCGTGTTTGCGTGGGTTTGTCCATATTCCATTTCATGTGTGTGAATGAGTGTGTACCTTAGTACTGGGTTGCAGCTGCAAGGGCATACGCTGTGTAAAACATTTACTGGATAAGTTGCCGCTTTATTCTGCTGTGGAGACCCCTGATGAATAAAGAGACTAAGCCGAAGGAAAATGAATGAATGAAACTTAAATTTTTTGTGTCCCTGACTGATATATTATACATAAATAAAATGAAATACAAATGACAAATACTATTTTTAAAAAGCTTGATGTTGCATTAAAAAAGCAACAACAACAAAAAAAAAGAAATGTTTACAGAACATTTACTGAAAGTAAATGCATCAATATTACATAAAAACTGTAAAAACATAAATACATTTATTTCAATTAGGCAATTTATACATAATAATAATAAATATACTATACATGTAAGCAATGACTCAAATACTGTATGTTGTACAATTCCAGGCTGATTTACAGGCAACATTAACAAATATAACATATTTGGAACACTAAATGACAACATGTAAAACATGGTACCTGTGACATATAAATATTGCCTTTAGCAAGAATAATGACAACGTGTAATATAATGTATACAATATGGCCAACATTATTTGTGATATCAACAGTCACTCCTCAGATTTATTTGATAATTGATGGCTTGGCTTTGAGATGGAGTTTGTCTTTAATGAACCAGAGACTTACAGTACTTTACAAATTATCTGACAGACAGATCTGATTTATTCCCACATTCTACCTCAAAGGGGTAATTCACCAAAAAATGAAGATTCTTTACACAAAAGAAGATATTTCAAAGAATGTTATAAACAAATTTTGTTTTCCTACTATGGATACCAATGTTATATAAAATAAAAAATACATTAAATAACAAAGAACGTCAGGTGTAAAGTCAAAATTATTAATTACTAATTTCACATTATGCCTAAATTATGACTTCAATGTTATGAGATGATGGCACAAAGTAGCGAGAACTGATGTTCCTTACAAATGAATTTTACGTATTATTATGCCAAAAATCTTGACTTTTTAATCTGATAATTATGACAAGGCATAATTTCAGCTTTTAAAGTCATAATTTAGATAACAATTTAGATTTGTAAAGTCATAATTCCAAGTTAGTAAATAAATCAGCTTTTAAAGTCAGAATTTAGATCATGATCTAGATTTGTAAAGTTATCATTTCAAGTTAGTAAGTCATATTTTCCCTTTTGAAATCACAATTTTGACTTAATTATATAAAAGTTTAATCTTTTTATGTTGTAATTTCAGTTTAATATGTTATAATAAAGTTAGTTAGTCATAAAATGTCAGAATTATAACATACTAAAGAGAAATCAAAATTCTGAATTTTAAGAAAAAAAAGTGTGACACTTAAATCAAAATTAAGACCTTAAAAGTTAAAATGATGAATTAATAACTATAATTATGAGATACAAGTTAGTAAGTTATTGTTTCAACTTTAAAGGGAACCTATTATGCTAAAATCCTTTTATAAGAACTAATTATTTTGAGGAGCACATTATATGATTGGTCACAGCTGGCTTTTCATCTGTAATTAGTGATAATCCAATCAGATTGATCCAAGCTTACAATTACAATAAATAGACCGATTTCACCCTACTGCTTTATCTTTGTTTTCGGAAGAATCCCCCCTTCCACCCCATCTCCTCCTTTTTCTTCCTTTTTTTGAAACCTCTTTATATGCTTATTGACCAGGCGGGAGCCTTAATATGCGTTCACACCGAAGGCAGTGAGAGCGTCAAAGGTCGCTCTGACCACCCTGGCGACAACGCTGTCTGCCTTCAGCTCCGGTGGCTAAAGTGTCAAATTTCACTACATTGATTTCGTATTTAAAGGGCCATTGCAGCATATCATATTAGTTACATTCCCGCATAAAACATGCTTTCTAGCGTGAAGATGTTGCGCACTTATTATCAAATTCATTTAACTACGGAAGATCAAGTTGCATGTGGTCTGGCTTTGCTCCACTTATCCAATATGTCTGAAATATGCTGAAACAGCAACATTGGTTTTGTTGTCACATGAAATTCCCACTTTATTAAAAAGAAAAAAAATATGATTTCAACTCTCCTCGACGCCCAAACCGATGAAGCCGCGCCATGCTGCTCCACTTCGCTTATTGCTTCGACGCTCTCGCCGCTTTAGGTCTTAACGTACAGTTAGGATCAATTTTTCTCCAAGCTCGGTATTCTCTCCCGGGACAGCATGCCAAATCTGCTATTAACGCCAAGTATATCTAAGTGTAAACTCTTGAAACACATTTGTGTGGCAACATTTTGTGAATAAAACTAACATCGAAGGGAAGACAATATTTTTTTATAATCACAATTTGATGAAATCAGTCTGCAGAAACACGATGATTGGCATTCTACTTTTGTAAGTGTCATCAGAGGGGGAATGCCCCGCCCATTAGTGATTATCTCTCCCTCATTGGCATAGGACGTTAGTCTTGATTTTGAATCTTCCACTATGCTGACACACAGGCATTTGTAGCTTTGCCCTATTTTAAAAAGAACACAATCTCATTTGAATTTAAAGCAACGGTCACCAAAATGACACAATTAGAATCAAAGCCTCAAAGGGGCAGATTCAAAGTGTTATAAAGCATTATAGGTGATGTATTTTGAGCTGAAACTTACACATGCACACTCTAAAGACATAAGAGGCTTATTTTAAATCTTGTAATAAGGGGCATAATAGGTCACCTTTAGCACTTACAAATACGACATTAAATATAGAAAATAAAGTATATTAAAATGACATTATTAATTAATAAGTCAAATTTATGAGACTTGGAAATCAGACTTAGTAAGTCATAATTTTGATCTGTAGCAGTTGGCTTCTTTATGAGGGTGAATTTCATTTCTGGGTGAACAATCCCTTTAAATCACCTCTGATCCTTGTTTTTATGTGTCCTACATGACATCACACTTCTCGGCAGTCTGTTTTAGGTCCTCAAGGGTGGACTGGGCCTTCTCTTTCAGCTGGTCCATGTCCACGTTCTGAATGTTGGTGATCTGGCCGAGGACTGACTGCTTGTGTTCTTCTTCTTGGTTGTCTTCAGCGATCATCTTGGCCAGTTCAGTGGGCAGCTCTACGTCATCAGCCGCAGCCTGAATTTGAGTATCGTCCAATTCACTCTGGTAATAAAAAAGATAGTAAATGTTAGTTTAGTTTAGTTTATTTGTTTACAGGGTCAATGCACATTAATAAACATTACTGTAAAATGTGCCAGAATTAGCCAAGAATGGCTATTTTTCATCCGTTAGTGTTAATGTTAATGGAATATGTGATTAGGATGGGTCATATGGTGTGTTTTATAAATGTGAGGTTTACTTTAGGAAGACGGTATTTTTCTCTGAAGTGGCTCCTGACTGTGGCTCGCTCTGCCTTCTTTTGGGCAAAGTTGGCATCTCTTTCCAACCTAGAGGAATAATGTTTGGACATTCAAAGATTTAAAGCATTTTTGTCATTGGTAGTAATGTATGTATACATTGCTCAGCATATATGTGTACACCTCTCACAAATCTATCTTTTAAATTAATACGTTTAATAGCTATACAATATTATATATGTGCATATACGTTAGATTAGTCAGTACTACAGCCAAATCTGGAGCATATTTAAAATAACAAAATAACTTACGATAACGATAACAAAAACTAGTACAGATAAAATTTAGGTTATAGAAAAATATTAAATAAAAATAAAAAAAAGAGGAAAAATCAAAAGGAAGCAAAAAAATTAAAAAATAAAAACATTGTTTTAATTTTGCAGGTTGTAATTTTTTTTGCAATATTTTGTTCAAATCTAATTGTATTATCTTTCATTTTTTTATGTTTGGTGACTGAAATATTGTTTTAATAAATATATGTTTAATAAATCTGAATCCCCAAAACACATTGCCTATATTCACTGAGAAATGGATAAACAAATTCATTTTCAAAATGGGGTGTACTCAATTATGCTGAGCACTGTATATGAATGTATCATTGCTCTGTTAAACATCATTTGGGAAATATTTAAATAAGAAAAAAAATCAAAGAGGGGCTAATAATTGTCCAACTGTTACAAATATAACTATATTACAATAAATGTAATAAATAAATACAGTTCAAATAATCTAATTATTTATTTTTACATAAACTGTAATATAACAAAACATATTTAATATAGGTACATACAACAAACTTAGTTAAATATGGACAAAACCATGCATTGGTAAAAATGTTAAATAATCTTAAAGAATAATTCAGTGGTTTTGTCCATATTCTTTTCCAAATTTGATTTGAATTTGTATGTGTTTGAAGATATGTGTTTGAAGACAGACAGACAGACAGACAGACAGACAGACAGACAGACAGACAGACAGACAGACAGACAGACAGACAGACAGACAGACAGACAGACAGACAGACAGACAGACAGACAGACAGACAGACAGACAGACAGACAGACAGATAGATAGATAGATAGATAGATAGATAGATAGATAGATAGATAGATAGATATTATTGTCATTCAACACTCAATATTATTAAGTTTTATTCGTCTAGGACAATGTAATACAACACCGTTGAAATATGCACATGGAGGAAGAAAAACAGCTGCATATGCATTTCTGCAGAGGAGTCACTGTCCTCAAGGCCAAACCTGAGAAACATGGATCTGGAGAGCAAGGTGACATGCAGTATTGATTAAACCACAGAAATACAGTAAGCAGGAGATAAACACTGACCTTCTCCAACGCTCCTTGTATTACATTTGTACAAGTGACCATGAAGTTTGTGTATTCAATTCAAACAGAAGGAATGTAGTCCTCATGTTTTGATATAATAAATATATAATGGCATTTTTTTTTTTGGTGGCATTCAACAAGGTATTCATTGTTTAATAATAATACTAATATTATTAATAATAATACGAATAATATTATTAATATTATTAATAATAATAATAATAATAATAATAATAATTAACGTCTGATTTTTTTTTAAATCCACAAATTATTAAAAATTACACAGACATTAAAACTGTATTAACTGGTTATTACTACATTAAATAAAAGAGAAAATATGAATAACCCATAATGTAATTCAAATTGATTAAAGGTTTGTCAGTCAGCCACTATAGAGGGAAAAGAACAATATTTAATTTTTATTTCAAGTTTTGTGAACTGTTTTATTCGATCTTAAATGGCTAAAGAAAACATACAAAGTCACTTGTTTCATTTATTACGCTTATAAAGTCATAACGAGTCCTAAATCTCCACTCCACTTTTTTTTCTAGCTGTGTACAATATTTAGTAATGTATGGAGTAAAAATAGATGAACAATATCCCCTGTGTAAAAATGTTAATATGTCACATTAATAAAACAATAACTGAAAATGACTTCATTCGATGTATGCAAATTAGCTCATTGAATAAAACAGGCAGTCATTTGCATATTTAAACGAAATCTTTAAAAACCTACAAAAAAACGTATGAGCTGGGAAAGTATTATGAAAACTAGTATCCTAAAACACCTTTTACCTGCAGTGTCTTGCCCTTAAAAAAAATAAAACATCACCGATTCATGGTTATGACCAAACAAATAAAAGCGCTGAGTCTTACTTCTCCTCCGCCAGCTGTTGTTGGTACTGCTCGAACTCTTCTTGGGTCATTCCTTTCGCCGCAGCTTCAGTCTTTTCCCCTTCAGGTTTCTCTTCTAGACCCCCGGTAAGATCCTTCAGCTGCCCTCCTATCATGTGTTTCAACATAAAAGCCATTGTTTATCACAATTTAGACTGTTCTTCAATAAATTCCTAACGTTAGTCGCGGGGAAAACTCTTTCGTCACATTAATGTCTAACGTTATGTGTCTCGCGTGAGGGAAAACAAAAATGCGACAACAAAAAGTAGCCTACATTTGTCTTCTGCTCTCAGTTCAAGTTTCAGCCCCACCATTCAGAACCAATACAAAGCGGAGGAACTCTCTCTCTCTCTCTCTCTCTCTCTCTCTCTCTCTCTCTCTCTCTCTCTCTCTCTCTCTCTCTCTCTCTCTCTCTCTCTCTCTCTCTCTCTCGTAACGTGCGACTTGACGCTTCATGACATCGCAGATAAACAACTTGACCAACATAAGATACATAGCCTACTGTTTTATGCTTGCTGTTGCTGTAGATATGATACATAAATGGATATGATATACAAATAGAAAAAGCCTATACGACCTAAACACAAATCACTTCCACCAAGCAAAGTGAGGTCTGAATGTGTTGTGTACTGTGTATCCACGTTGATGAAACGTCTTTCAGAAACGCAATGAGAAATATTTAAGGATACTTGATAATTAGTGTTTTGTCCAGACATTATTGAATCTGTTAGGGACACAATTACTGATATTTTCAGTTGGATTTGTGGCACACACAACCTAATGTGAACAATACTTTACTGTATTTTCTAATATGTTGATGATAAGACATTGATAAGGTCAGTATAGCAAAGTGGTTTGTTTTAACACTACACACAGGGTTAAGGGCCAGTGAAAAGACTTGGCTCAATTTCAAAGACAGGATGGACAACAAACTAAACATTAAGATGTCACAAAATCCTTTACTAAATTTTCTGCGCTTTCAAATGTTTTGTGTGTTTAACAGCAATTATCTGTTAGCTTTAATGGTCTCAAGGCAATTCATAACATTTTGATTTAGTGGCTAATTTGTATGAATTCGTATAATGTCATTCATGTATTTCTTTCAGGAGTTCTTTTCATTTGCTTATCCGCCAATGCTTGGCTGCTGTAGGGATGGAGTTTGGTGCCATGCCTCCTTTTTAAAAATGTACATTTTTGTATGAATGAACTCGTACAAATTAGCCACTAAACTGACAAAACATAAAATAGTTACATTTACTTGTGAGATCAGGCTGGTAAACTGGTTCATTTTGAACATTTCCCCTCTATTTTCTTCCGCGTTTAAAACATCCATGAGCCCTGTCTCTCTTGTGTTGATTTAGTATAGGACTGCAAGTTCTATGATGATGCCCCAGTGTCTAATTATTACATATACATACATATACATTATGTTTAACAGAGCATGCAAATTTTCACAGTATGTCTGATAATATTTTTTCTTCTGGAGAAAGTCTTATTTGTTTTATTTCCGCTATAGAAAAAAACAGTTTTTAATTTTTTAAAAACATTTTAAGGTCAAAATTATTAGCCATTTTAAGCCGATTAATTTTTTTGCGATAGTCTACAAAAGAATCCATCGTCATACAATAATTTGTCTAATTACCCTAACCTGCCTAGTTAACCTGATTAACCTCTTTGTGTGTGTGTGTGTAAAGTAGTTGTAAATAGTAGTTGTTATTTTATTTGTAGTAGTGCTTGTAATAAATTATGTATCTTTGCAACTGAATGTTTCGTAAAACTATAATTACCCTCAAAATCTTTTATCACATACTATAACCTATAACCAACATGTGTTTGGAACAGAGGGGTTTAAATTGTTCAAGTAATCAATGATCAATGGTCTCAGCTGTTTGTGTGTGTCTAAATGACTGTCAGCTGTGGCAGGAGGGATGGGTCTAAAGACTTCTGGGATTTGTAGATGGTAGGAAATGATTTCCAATGGAAAAACACCTGCTGGCGATCACAACACCTGCCCCCTCAAAAACAACTTTTCTCCACTTCTGATTGCATAAAATGGCTTGTGGTAGGGGCTACCAGGGCGTATCTCGTTTCTGCCATCCTTGTCCATTTTGTTCTTCAAATTAAAATAATTCTACAATTATATCTGTTCCCAAAGGACAAAATCATGCACCACCCTACATTTTTATTTTTAATTTCAGAGCAATTTCAATTGGATGTGCAGTTGAGGAAAGTTTTTTGCAATTTCAGTTTAAGGGAAAGAAAACTTTTTCAACATATTTCTAAACATAATAGTTTTTAAGAACTCATTTCTAATGATTGATTTATTTTACCTTTACCATGATGGCAGTATGATGACAGTATGATGACAGAGGTGAAATTTAAAGGCTTAACTTGGTTAATTAGGCAAGTCATTGTATAAAAATGCTAACATTTTTCTGTAGACAATATTAGTTAAGAGGGCTAATAAGTTTGACCTTAAAATTGTTTTAAAATGTAAAACTACTTTTATTATAGCCAAAATAAAACAAATAAGACTTTCTCCAGAAGAGAAAATATTATAGAAAAGACTGTAAAAATCTGTTTATCATCAATTGGGAAATATTTGAGACAGAAAACAAAAATTTAAAGGGGGGCTAATAATTCTGACTTCAACTGTAAATCACAATAGAGAAAAAAAAGGTCAGTCTTCACCTCTGTTTTATGGCGACTTTAAGATTGATGCACAAGTCTAATGTATTGATCCATTTCATGCTCTGCTTTCAATTGAAACACATTTAATGACAGTTTGTTTACAATGGAGAGGGAAGACGTGTTATATTGTTCATGAGAGCAAATTAACTGAGGGCAAATAAAAATAAAAAATCCTCCGTAGATGTCTTGCTAAAAGATGTTTCCATATTAGAAGTATTTTGAGGATTAAACAATATACACTACCATATATTAAATAGCATAAACTACTCAAGTATTTACATTTTAACTCGGTGTGATTTTATTTTAGAGACAGTGCACATGAAAGCTAATATTGGTTTATTGGTTTGTAAGTTTTTCTGAGTTCTCCATTAATGACGGCCTGTGGGCTTGTTGATGAGTCAGTGTGAGTAATGATGATCTGCCACTGTCACTTTTACTCTGTGTTAAACATATCACCAATTAAAACATCTCGTCTGCATTTTTGTCTAGGATTTAACTTTATAGTTTGTTAACGAGATTAGGTGCAGTTTTTACAACTAAAAATGGACAAAAAAATTATATGAACAAAATATTTACAAATACTTGCAATGGTACGTTACGCAGAATTTAAGCTACTTGGGTTATTAAAGTACATAAAGGTCTATTTTCTGTCATTTCATATTAAAATATTATATTATTCATATATTATAGTCAGAGGTGATATGATGGCTCAGTGGTTAGCACAGTCCCCTCACAGAAAGGAGGTTGCTGGTTCGAGTCACAGCTGACTCAGTTGGCTTTTCTGTGTGGAGTTTGCCCATTCTTACCGTGTTTCCCCCACAGACCTGTGCTATAGGTGAATTTAATAAACTAAATTGTGCGTAGTGTATGTGTGTGAATAATAGCGTATTGGTGTTGTAGCTGTAAGGGCATCCACTGTTTAAAACATATGATAATAATAAAAATTAAATAATAATAAATAATAAATACAATTGAAACATAATTATAATATACAATTATTTCCCATATAAATATGCAATAACATAATAATAAAAAAAGCTATATTAATGTAACTGATATAAACATTCTGTAGTAAAATTCGTTTGTAGGGTCGACAGGGTCGGCGGTATAAGTTAAGGTCAAGTTTTAAAGAAAATAAAATTTAAATAAAATAAAATAAATTAATAAATAAATTTAATGACTGCCACCACACTTGAAGCTGTGTGTGTGCACTCTCTCCATTCTTGACTGCTCCTTCTTTCTCCTTAAGAAGGGTGTCTCTCCGGCCAATCACTAGAATAAACAGGTGTGATTTATTATCTCTGATTGGCCTGCTAATTAGCCGCCAGGCTCTGAGCATGTTCTTCCCCCCTCAAGCTACGATCACACTAGAGTTTGTGTGTGCGATATTCGGTCGTGCAGCGCTGCGAAAAGGGGCGGGAATAAACAAGCGAATTAGGCATTTTGAAAAAGTGAGCGATCTCTCCATGTTTTAAATTTCTGTACAGAAAGGTCATGTTTTGATCCTCAATTGGTCTCACGCAGTCAAGTGATGCGATTTCGCAGGTCAGAGTTCACCAAGCTTAAACTTTGCGCCACAGCAACCTGCGAAACTTGACCGCGTTTCCGGTCTGATGCATTCGGGTGCATATGAATGGGGAGTCTATTGGAGGAAAAGCCCAGTGTGACCGCAGCTATATTGGGTGTTCGATAATCACCTCTACAGATATTCATTTTCACTTCTTACCTCAATATATATATATATATATATATATATATATATATATATATATATATATATATATATATATATATATATATATATATATAATATATATATATATATATATATATATATATATATATATATATATATATATATATATATATATATATATATATATATATATATATATATATATATATATATATATATATATATATATGTATGTTTATGTAGGTTTATATATATATATATATATATATATATATATATATATATGTATATATATATATATATATATATATATAAATATAAA